GAGAGAGAGAGAGAGGGAGAGAAGGAGTTCATTCTGAGGAAATAATGCAGCAGATGAGTAGAAAATGTTTAAAGAAAAAACATATTGGGTAGGTTGGGAATTAGAATTTTGAGTTGGACCATTGAGTCCAACTCTGGTTAGTGCAGTGATGTTAATAGTCTAGTGCAGTGGTGGGGCACTCAGTCTCTAAAAGGTTCGCCATCACTGGTCTAGTGATTAAGTCCAGGAGACCGTGAGTTCTAGTCCCACCTTAGGCATGAAAGCCAGCAGGGGAGATAACCTTGAGCCAATCACCAGGAGACAGTGAGTTCTTGTTCTGCCTTAGGCATGAAAGCCCCTGGGTGACTTTGGATCAATTACAAGGGGACTGTGAGTTCTAGTTCCATCTTAGGCATGAAAGCTTCCTGGGTGACTTTAGGCAGATCACTAGGAGAAGGTGAGTTCTAGTTCCACCTTAGGCATGAAAGCTAACTGGGTGACTTTAGGCCGATCATCAGGAAATGGTGAGTTCTAGTTGTGACTTAGGCATGAAAGCTGTCTGGATAACTTTGGATCAATTACCAGTAGACTGTGAGCTGTAGTCCCGCCTTAGGCATTAAAAGCAGCCGGGTGACTTTGGGCCAATCACCAAGAGGTGGTGAGTTCTAATCCTGCTTTAGGCATGAAAGCCGAGTGGGTGACCTTGGGCCAGTCCCCCCTCTCTCAGTCCAACCCATCTCACAGGGTTGTTGTAGTGGGAAAAATAGAAGGAGGAAGGAGTATTATGCACATTCACTGCCTTCAGTTACTGATCATGTAATAAAGATTGGATAGAATTGACTGCATAAATAAAGAATAGGCTGTCTGCATGTCCTGGACTGTCCTGGACTGTCAGCTCCATATTTTCTTACACTTCTTGGTCTGGCTCCTCTCCTCAGCTTGGCAAAAAGTGCACAGATTCAGCTGTGAGGTGATGTGGAACAATCGATTCACCGTCTGTCAGTGGAAAAGTGCAAATGGCTCTTGTATCTGCGGGGCCTTACATTAATTGTCCTCTTCCTGTGCGAATTCATGGGCTCTTAGGATTGATGCTGAATCATTGCGTAAGAGAGAACTAACAGAATAAAGCAGGGGTCTTCAAACGTGGCCCTTTTATGACTTGTGGACTTCAACTCCCAGAATTCCTGAGCCAGCCATGCTGTACCATTTAGATCAGGGGTAGTCAACCTTGGCTCTTTTATGACTCGTGGACTTCAACTCCCAGAATTCCTCAGCCAGGCACGCTGGCTCAGGAATTCTGGGAGTTGAAGTCCACGAGTCATAAAAGAGCCAAGGTTGACTACCCCTGATTTAGACAAATGGCTGTCCAATCTGTTCTTAAAAATCTCCAGTGAGTAACTACAGCTTCTGGAAGCAAGCCAGTACACCGATTAATTTTTCTCCCTAGTTCTAGATTGATTCTTTCTTTGATTAGTTTCCATCCACTCATCTGAAATGATATAGGGTGCTTTGGAGATTAGCTTGACCCCCTCTTCTTTGGGACATCTCCAGAGATATTGGAACACTCCTATCATGTCACATTGCTAGTCCTTCTCTTCATTAAACCAGACATACCCAATTCCAGCAACCGTTCTTCGTATGTTTTAGCTTCCAGTCCCCTGATCATCTTTGTTGCTCTTCTCTGTACTCTTCCTAGAGTCTCAACATCTTTTTTACATCGCGGTGACCAAAACAAGGAAAGAGCAAGGAAAGTGAGAATGTATTTGTCATCAATATGTAGCTTGTGGGTGGAAAATGAGAACACCAAGTCTTTTGCGGGAGGGAAGGATGTGATGGATTTGAAGTAATGAGTGTAAATTCTGCACACCCTCTCATATACCGTAGTAACTAAGCCTCATCTATTTTACATGGCTTATTCCTGGAATAAAATAACTAGCTATGTTTAGCCCTGTTTCACTAGGAGCCTGACAGATTGGTATGAAAAGAGCAGGATGAAGATACTGCACTGAAAAAAAAAACTATTTTTGCAGAAAAGCTGAATAGGACGTTGAGGGCTAGGGCATTCCCCAATAAATAGGTGTTTAAAAAGCTCGAACGTCGTCCTCCACACATCTAGTCCTTTACTTACAACCATTCATTTAGCGATTGTTTGAAGTTACAACAGCACTGAAAAAAGTGATTGACGACTAGTCCTCACACTTAAAACCGTTGCAGGATCCCCAGGGTCACATGATCCAAATTCAGACACTTGGCAACCGGCATGCATTTATGACAATCGTGGCATTCCAGAGTCATGTGATCTCCATGTGTGACCTTTCCCGCTGCCTTCCGACTAGCAATCAATCGGGGAATCTAGATTCGCTTAACGGCCACTTGTTTCACTTATTTGCTGAATAACCATGGCAAACAGTCATAAAGTTGGGCCTGACTCATTTAACAACTGTTTTAGGAAGAGCTGTGGTGGCGCAGTGGTCAAATGCAGTATTGCAGGCTGACTCTGTTCACTGTCAGCAGTTTGATCCTGACTGGCTCAAGGTTGACTTAGCCTTCCATCCTTCTGAGATTGGTAAACTGACCTGGATTGTTGGGGGCAACATGCTGACTCTGTAAACTGCTTAGAAAGGGCTGTAAAGCATTATCAAGCGGTATATAAGTCTAAGTGCTATTGTTATTGTTTTGCTTAGCGACAGAAATTCTAGTCCCAATCATGATTATAAATTGGGGACTACCTATATAACAGAATAACAAAGTTGGAAGTGACCTTGGAGGTCATCTAGTCCATCCCCCTGCTCAGGCAAGAAACCCTATGCCATTTCAGACAAATGGGTGTCTCTTCTTAAAAACTTCCAGTGTTGGAGCATTCACAATTTCTGGAGGCAAGTTGTTCCGCTGATTAATTGTTCTCACTGTCAGGAAATTCCTCCTTAGTTCTAGGTTGCTTCTCCCCCTCTTCTTTGTGGGAACCCCTGAGATATTGGAAGACTGCTCTCACGTCACCCCTAATATATCCAGTAATACATTTTAATACTGTTGAGTTTGCGTTCTTAATTATGACTCTGAAGTAGCGATCACGTATGGTTCAGTTTTTGGAGCCACAACTTGCACTTGTCATAGTTGATAAATTTATTAAAAATATTTATAACCTGTCTGTCAAACTATAATCTTTAAGGCATGTTGGTACTCACCGGCTGATTCATGTATGGAGTTTGCCTACTCAATGGGACTTAATTGCCTCTGTGTTAATTTTCCTTGTTCTTCCCCCCCTCTTCCTATTTCATCTGAAAATATTGTTTATGTATTCCTTTTCCCTCCTCCCCTCTTTTCCTCTCCTTTTTTTTTTTTTGAAAATACTCGAAAGCTCACAAACGCAAACCTATGGTGCCTCCAGGTAGGCAGTGCATGTGAATGGGTGTTTGTGTGTCATGTTGTGGCTCGCGTTTTGTTGTTGTTGTTGTCAGTTTGTTTTGAAATGAAACTCACTCAGCTTTTCTGTATTGCGTGTAAAAGAAGATCCTCTAAATGGCAAACCTTCTCTACAAAATAAGGCAAAAATCACCTCGGGTGGTCCATCAGACCAAGGATTGTGTATTCTTTTACATGCATATCAAATTGTGCTGGGCATTGTGACCGCAGAAGTATCTGAAGGGTATGGTTAAAAAAAATCAAGATGGAAACTTCAATCACGCCATTGTGGAAGCCATCTTGACTTTTTTGACTTCATCCTGTGATCCACAGCTTAAGAAAAGACATTTTCAAGCTACTGTAGAAGAAGATAGCAGGTGAGTACAGTGGTGGAATTCAGTTGGCTTAACCCAGCAAATATTTGAATTATCTTGAATTTACACAGCTATTTCTGGTCACTGGCTTTTCCTAAATTAGAAGAATACTTGATTTCTGCCATTAGCCTGGCCTGGCATGATGTAAACACAGATATTGGTCCATTAGCCATCAAATTACTTTCACTCTAGAGCAGGGGTCTCCAAACTTGGCAATTTTAAGACTTGTGGACTTCAACTCTCAGAGTTCCCCAGCCAACATGAGGAATTCTGGGAGTTGAAGTCTGCAAGTATTAAAGTTGCCGAGTCTGGAGATTTGTACTCTAGACAGCTGTGCTTCCTACAATCTTCTTCATTGTCTCCCATATTTTCTCAATTGATGGCTTTTCTACCCCACTGCACATTTCNCTTGGCAATTTTAAGACTTGTGGACTTCAACTCTCAGAGTTCCCCAGCCAACATGAGGAATTCTGGGAGTTGAAGTCTGCAAGTATTAAAGTTGCCGAGTCTGGAGATTTGTACTCTAGACAGCTGTGCTTCCTACAATCTTCTTCATTGTCTCCCATATTTTCTCAATTGATGGCTTTTCTACCCCACTGCACATTTCCCTTTTTCTCCTGCCTCCATCCATAATCTTTAAGCCTTATTTCCTTCCTCTGTGTATTCACTGGGGTTATATCAACATGCTTAACTAGATGTTAATTGTACGTCTGTAAGGACCCACTTCAATCCCACATCTTAAGAAAGCAGACCTCTTGGAGATGGTTTCCTCCAACAGGAACTTTTATTAAAAGTGGTTGATAGCAGGCATAATAGACAGGATCTGAGGGATTCCTTTACAGGTCGATACTTTAAAGTGTTCCCAAGCAAACCCCACCTCACAGTTCATCCGGATGGTTCAGACCGGCCAATCCCCAGGTGTTAAGTCCATCGTGGGAAAGGGGAGATAACATTGGTATGGCTCTGGTCGTAGCACGATGTTCAAGCAGCTCTTCGCACCTCTTTTTGAGACCGGAGAAATAAACCAGGCTCCGGAGATTGTATTTCTTTCTCCCCCCCTTTTCCTAACTGACAGGTTAGGGCAGGGGTAGGCAACCTTGGCCCCTTCATGACTCGTGGACTTCAACTCCCAGAATTCCTCAGCCAACATGGGTCAGCTTGGAAACCTCTCCCTTTCCCCTCAGCATGGCTGGCTCAGGAATTCTGGGAGTTGAAGTCCATGAGTCATAAAAGAGCCAAGGTTGCCTACCCCTGGGTTAGGGAGAGGAAAGTTCAGAGAGAGATGCAGTGTAGGAAGCAAATTGTTACATTGTAACGGGCAGCAATAAACAAAACAAAAGGTTACATTATAGTGAATAGAGGAAATGAAAGCAATAACCCCGCAGGCATATCCCCCCTCCCCCTTGGGAGTATGGCAGAACCCAGGGGAAAGTGAGATTTGTTTTTAGATCAGAGGAGATAGGTAGAAATGAAATAGAAATGGGTTTTGACACCATCCTAAGTTTAGTAGCAATAGAAGGGAATGTTTGTACCATGTTTCCCTGAAAATAAGACCCCCCAGAAAAGAAGCCCTAGCCTGATTTTTTTGGTGTGCGCCTAATATAAGCCCTACCCCCAAAATAATTCTTAGTTGAGAGTCTGCCTACTCCATCCCACTGTCTGGTTGCTCGCTGTTGCAACAGGGCAGGAAAGCACGCGTCGTACTGGTGCTACTGCCACAAGTTGAGGTAAGGTAATTGGGAAAGGTGGAGCTGCCCCAACACCCCCACACGCTTACCTCAGGGGCCCCACAGCCAGGCCACTCCCCCACCTCCCTCGCCTCAACTCGTGGCAGCAGCACCGGTGCAGTCAACCAGATGGTAGGATGGAGTGGGCAGGCGGCCGCATACTAAGACATCCCCCCAAAATAAGACCGGGTCTTATTTTCCCTTCTAGCCCTGATGATGTTACCTAGTTGGGTAATAAAATGTCTGCAACCAAGCAACCAACCTCAGAGAACACCAAGGACCCCACCTGTGTTAACTGTGTTATTTTTTCTGTGGCAGAGCCTGAAGTGTGTGGAGTCAAGAATTTGACTGGGTTGACAGTTGAACTGTCTTTAGAACACCTATAAAAGTAGTTAATTAAGTAACTAGGCTAAATGTGTGTGGGAACAAAGTCTTAGCTTATTAAACTATCTTGTACTAGGTGGGTCAGCCCTACAAGATAATCCAGACAAGAAGCTCGCCCAGAAGTATTAGCTCTACTATATTGTAAGGTTGCATTAACAGAATTTTGCAACTCTGAGAGTATTTTTCTCTCCCCCCTCCCTCACCTTTACAGCCTCAGAAACTAGGGATGGTTCCTTCTGATATGTTTCCATGTCCCTATTGCTTCTGCAGACTTAGCTGCCTCTTATCCATTACTGCCCTAGCTGCCGCTTTCCCCCTGTCATTCCCATACGCTGTTACAGTTGTACTCTGGTTCCATCCAGTCCAGTTCTCATTCTCTCTCTCTCTCTCTCTCTCTCTCTCTCTCTCTCTCTCTCTCTCTCTCTCTCTCTCTCTCTCTCTCTCCCTCTCCCTCCCTCCCTCCCTCCCTCCCTCCCTCTCTCTCTCTCTCTCTCTCTCTCTCTCCTATTTATTTACTGGGCAGAAAACAATAATTCCCCATTCCATCTGAGGGATGGAATACTGGAGAATGAAAAAAGGATCTTCTACATACAACTGTTATAATGATTTCTTTGCAATTACTGTAAGAGGTCAGGAAGTGCAGTATTTGTGAGCGGAGACCTTTGAACTGAAGGTAGGGCTCGTAGGCTAGTAATTGATCTAGATTTCCCATATATATGCCATGAGGAACACTGTTACCTTCCCACCGAAGTGGTACCTATGAATCTACTCACATTTGCACGCTTTCGAACTGCTAGCTGGGCAGGAGCTGGTGCAAGGAACGGGAACTCACCCCATCACACAGTGCTCAGGTCTCAAACCTGGGCTGTCAACTTTTCAGCAGACAAGCTCAGCATCTATAACTGCTGAGCCATCCGCACCTACAGAGAGAGAGAGAGAGAGAGAGAGAGAGAGAGAGAGAGAGAGAGAGAGAGAGAGAGAGAGAGAGAGAGAGAGAGAGAGAATATCTATCTATCTATAGATAGATATAGGTATACTATTAAAATAGCCAGCAAATAATGCGCAACTGTTATTCTAAACCAGGCGTCTTCAAACTTGGCCCTTTTATGACTCATGGACTTCAACTCCCAGAATTCCTGAGCCAGCATGGGGGAACTATGGCCCCTTCATGACTCGTGGACTTCAACTCCCAGAATTCCTGAGCTAGCATGGCTCAGCATGGGAACCTCTCCCTGTCCCCTCAGCGTGGCTGGCTCAGGAATTCTGGGAGTTGAAGTCCACCAGTCATAAAAGAGCCAAGGTTGCCTACCTCTGTTCCAAACCAAATGGAGCTAAATAGCTTTTGAACACTCTCCCCGCCCCGCTACACGCTCTGTTCCTGAAATAGAAAACTCATCAAGCTATACTTTCTTATCTATTGAGTTTGTATGAATGCTAAACTGGGCTCAAAATGGAGCTGAGATTTGACAGATCAATCCAGGACTCTAGTGCAGCGTTTCTCAACTTCAGCAGCTTTAAGATATGTGCTGGACTTCACCTTCCCAAATTGCCCAGCCAGCATGCTGATAACAACAATAAATCAGAAGTGACAGCCTGGCCTCTAAAAACATTATTAGGGTATCATCTCAACCGGGTCTTATCGTATTTGAAGGCAGTAAGGGATGCTGTATGACTCATGACATGATATAATGCATATCAGGCTTTTAGTATAATTTGTGTGAAGATACCACAACATGGAAGATGTCCTTCTGATGCCAGTGCGGCTTTGACCAGACACATATGAGTGTACTGTCCTTTTTAAGATATTGTCCTTGGATTGAATCAGTGCTTTTTCTAAATCTGGAAAGTTTAAGATGCGTAGAGTTCAGCGCCCATGGCTGGGGGAATCCTTAAAGTTCCTTGCAGACAGCCGTCATTTACATTCTTTTAGAGCAGACATGTCAAACACAAGGCCCGGGGCCCGGATGCGGCCCGCGAAGTGGTTTCATGTGGCCCGCGAAGCCATCCTGGAAACAGTGAGGGAACGTCCCCCACTGCCTTGGCCCTGGCCCAGGCCAGCTGGGAGCCAATGTACAATTTTGTGGTGGCCATCTTGGCACTTGCCCCGGTGGACCATGCCTTGGCACTTGCCCCGGTCCCACCCCCTTCTGCCAGAGACCCTCAGATCTGTCCCACTCCTGCCCAGGCCCCCACGGGCACCCTTGAAGCGAATGACGTAGAACTGGCCACGCCCACCCAGTAGACCACACCCACTCCATCCACACCCACCCAGTAGGCCACACCCACCCTGACCACACCCCCCCCCCCCAAAGCAACCACAATGCTGATGCGGCCCTCAGTGAAATTGAGTTTGACACCCCTGTTTTAGAGAGTTGTTGAGGCCACCTGGAGATTTATTTGTGTCCTCAGGATTATCTGAGTAGTGCAAATGGGTGTGGAGCCTTCTTGGCTGCAGGATGTTTTTCTGCCCCGGGTCCCTTCTCCGTTGAAGACAGGCGCAGGCTGCTGGGGATGAATCCATGTTGTCTGCATCTCAAACTGAAGCGCAAATGGTTCCTGTAGCCTGCCGTGTTTTCTGGACATCCATTCATACTCCCATACCATCCAGTCAGAGCTGAAGAAGCTTCTTGGAGGAGAAGTGAAACCTCTTCAAAGAACAAACAAGAAACTCCAGTAACGTCCTGAAAATGCACCTTTGGGACAACCATGACCCGGATGATTGAGAATCTCCATAGACCCGATAGTCAATGCTTTGCAAAAAGACAAAAAGTCAAAAGCCATTACTCTACTTGACAAAACAATAGTAATAAGGACAGGTTCCCAGATGGGAAGTAGGCCTTGTCTATAGACCAGTGGTGGTGAACCTATGGCACCCGTGCCAGAGGCGGCACTCAGAGCCCTCTCTATGGGCAAGCGTGCCATGCACTGGAGATGGCAACCATCCCTCTTCAACCAGCTGCCCACTAACTCGCCGAGGTCCCACGTGGCCAGTTGCATCCCAGCATGGCTGTTTTCCCTCCCCCCCCATCCCATCCCTCCTGGCCTCGCATGCTCTCCTTTTCCCAGGGCACAACCCACTGCATCACCTCCTCAGCTGTCGGCTGGCCGGTCAGTTCAGAGGCGGCTTCTCTGAACTGCTGGCGGTAGGCTGTGGAGCCCCAGAGTGCGCCAGTCAAGGGGCCAGCAGGCTGTGGCTGCTGATGGACAGTCGGTCCCCATGCGCTCACTGGCCTCTGTGTGTGGGGGCCGATGGTGTCAGGCAGCAGCCACCCCGGCCCCTGCCTCTTGCCCTGTGACAATGGCACCCCACCCTGCCTCACCTCACCCAGCAGGATGAGCCTCCTGCCCACCGCCCCACCTGCCAGATACCCCCTTGATCTCCCCCAACCCTGCCTGGCCCCCACAGGCGTTCCTCTTCACAAGCAACATTGAGGTGACCACACCCACCTTGGCCACACCCACCCAGTCTGCCATGACCACCACAGCCATGCCCACCCAGTGGGCCACGCCCACCTGGCACCCAGTGATAAATAAGTGGGTTTTGGCTTGCAGTTTGGGCACTCGGTCTCTAAAAGGTTCGCCATCACTGCTATAGACTGTAACCATCCCCCTGGTTCTGGTAGCTTCGGTTGCCCAGATTTAGACTACCGTACTTTTTTTTGGGGGGGGGGCTGAGTGGCCTTGTTGGAAAAAGGCCAAAAACCTGTGGGAACCCAGCAGGATGGGTGGGGGAGAGAGGTTGGGAGTGGGGTGCTGTAGCATCCCTGGGGCAGGTCTTAAGGGTGAACAACTGCAGGGACACTTCAGCAGTCATAATTTAAAAACTGGGTCCTAAGTAGCCTTTAGGGTGGGGTGGGGATTCTGTAACTTTGAATGTTCACTAAGCAAACAGTCATAAGCCGAGGACTATGTGAATCCATCTCCTTGCTTTTCACATTCAATTTGTGTTGTTCACCTTGTCATCTCCTTTTGGTTGTACACAGATGTAAATTTCTGTAAGATGCAAGGCAGGGTGGGCCCTTCCCAAACTGTGTCAGACCTGGGTTTGCAAAGACTCACCCCCCTCCATCCCGCAGCAAGCTGAAAGATTTCTTGAGAGGGTCACGGATCAGCTCGGTTTTGCTTTTCGTTCTATATGTGCCAGACTTGTTCTACACCTTGTCGCCAGAACAAAAGCTGGTTCATTTTTAATTAGGATAAAATGGAATAGAGAGATGAGCGTTCCTGCTGTTTTTGCTCATTCTCCCCATGGATCAAGATAGGTGCATATCTGCAAGAGGTAACACATATAATCCCTGTGTTCAAGGGACACAAGGGAGGACGCATCCTGTAGAAAGCACAGCTCCACACAGACTTCAGTAGTCCCAAGAAGGCTCCATACCCATTTGCCCTACTCAGGTGACCCTAAGGACACAGGTAAGCCTCCAGGTGGCCTCAACGACGCTCTAAAACAGGCATGTCAAACTCACGACGTCACGTGACGTTGCGCGACGTATCACGACTTTTTCTCCATTGCCGGCAATGGGGTGGACGCGGTTTTGGTGTGATGCATCCGGCCCACAGGCCAGTAGTTTGACATACCTGCTCTAAAAGGATGCAAATGACCAGCTGTCTGCAAGGAGTATAAATCCTTCCATTCTTCACCATCCAGTCAGAGCTGGAGAAGCTTCTGGGATGGGAAGTGAAACGTCTTCAAAGAAAAATAAGAAAATCCAGTTGCCTCCTGAAAAAGCACCTTTGGGACAACCTTGACCTGGATGGTCGAGGAATCTCCATAAGACTGATAGTCCTCAGCCTACGAGCACAACTGAGTTCAAAATTTTTGTTGCTAAGCAAGACAGTTTGAGTTTGACTACCTCATCATCTTACAACCATTTGTTTAGAGACTGTTCAAGACGGCGCTGGAAAAACTAACGGATGACCGTTTTTCATACTTACGATCTTTGCAGCATCCCCATAGTCATGTGATCAAAATTCAGATGCTTGGCAACTGGCATGTAATTGTGACAGTTGCAATGTTCCGGGATCATCTGATCCCCTTTTGCGAACTTCCGACAAGCAAAGTTAACCGGAAGCCAGATTCGCTGAACAACCGTGTTGCTAACTTGACAACTGCAGTGATTCATTTAACAACTGTGACAAGAAAGGTTGCAAAACTCATTTAGCAACCGTCTTGCTTTGCAACGGAAATTTTGGGTTCAATTGTGGTCATCAGTCAAGGACTACCTGTAGAGTAGGATATAGTCTTTTTTCAGCTTTGGACAGATGATCTAACATCTCTCTTTGACTTTTGCTGACTCTCCTGCCTCCTCACTCTCACTTTTCCTTTTACACCGGCTTCATCACAACCAGTACCCAATATCTTTTTGTGGTGTGTGCATGTGTGTACTTGTGGGAGCGTATCTTGTTTCTACCACCCATGTTGTGTTTCCTTTGTAAATGATTGCTTTGAGGCATGACCAGCGATGTTGACTTTGCCTGATTGTTGTGTGTGCTTCCAGTAACAACTCACAGTGTGTCTTTCGCTACCGGGAGTGAGCACCGTTCAATACTTTGTTTTATATACTTGAATCAATGTTTCCAGATCTGGACTGCCAAACTACAGGCTATCATTAGGTGGCAGGACAGGACCACATCTGTGGTGTCCCATTCTCGCCATCTAGTGGTCATTTGAGGTTTTGCAACCCAGAGCTGGTGGAAGTCAGATTGTCTTGATAGTAACTGATGAAAAAAAAATCTCCGTGTTCAGGGCCTCAAATAAAGCCTGCAGACCGGGTGAAATTTGTTAAAGTTTTCATGTTCAGCTGCATGTTCTGTGTTTTATTCTGGTGACTGTATGATTCCTTGTGCCCAGTTTTTTTTATTCAAAAGCATGGTATATCTAACAAAATCACATCTTCTGGAAGGAATATGTGAATAAAGTCTCCAGAATCGAGACAAAATGAAGAAAGTTATATGAATTCTCATTAAACTTATGTCATAATGAAGGCGCTGGTCATTTACGTGTCACACTGCTTTTTTGCAACGATCTGGTATGGTCGGGACTAATTCATTCAAAACAAATTTGGGGAGGGGGGCAATTTGTTCATTGGTTTAATGAGTCATTCAGTCTTCCTGATGAATTTCAAGGTAAGGAATGAATGAATGGTCAGCTAATGACGTTCACAAATCTGAATAATGAATCGGTTCCTGGACATGGTGAAAAAAGAAGTCCATGCAAGGAAATTGAACCTAGTTTTCAGGAGTTTTCAAACAGTGGGCTGTGCCCCCCCCAGGGGGTGGCAAACAGATTTGAGGTAGGGGTCTTGCACAGTATCACACTGTGGCTGAAAATATTGGGGATCATGCCGTCTGGACAGAACGAGAGGGATCTAGCAGGGATCAAGCATTTCACTAGGGTTAGAATGTAGTACTACAGGCTACTTCTGCTGCCTGCCGGCTGCCTGCAGTTTGGCCATTTGCTTCTGACCGACTCAAGGTTGACTCAGCCTTCCATCCTTCCGAGGTCGGTAAAATGAGGACCCAGATTTAGCAAGATGCTTACTCTGTAAACCGCTTAGAGAGGGCTGTAAAGCACTGTAAAGCAGTATATAACTCTTAAGTGCTCTTGCTCTTGCTATATATCGCACTATATACTACCATCAATTTTTCCTGTCGGTCATCCGTAGTGGGACGCCTCCCTCCTTTCTCATGCTAGTTTTATCTCATCCTGCTTTTGGAGAACATCTAGAAATGGGAAATTCCTAATTCACCTCCTGTTCTTCTGTATTTGTAAGATATGCTAAATACACAAAAACCCAGAGAGGGGAGAACTTTCCACAAGGTGGTTTTTGTGTTTTCTCTCTTCTTCTCCCTCTCCCTCTCCCTCTCCTTCTCTTCCTCCTTCCCTCTCCCTCTCCCCCTCCCTCCCTCCCTCCCTCTCCCCTTCTTTTCCCTCCCTCTCTCCCTCTCTCCTCTCGCTCCCTCTCCCTCCCTCCCTCCCTCCCTCCCTCTCTCTGCCTGAAACTGATTTTGTCCTTTTTCCAATTTAGGCTCATTCCACCTTTGAATCAGCTCGAGCTCCTGAGAAACCTGAAGAGCAAATCAGGATTAACTTTCAGGTTAGTAACGGCCAAGACTGAGTTCTGGGAAAATAAGCTTAGCGCCTGAAACAGGATTATTATGGTTTTACGCAGAAGTTCTTGAAAACAAAGTTGTAAATCCCAGCGAAGGGGAATTGTAGAGAACCGCAGAGATGAGTGGTTGGAGAGGAAAGATGGACAAATATGAATTAAGTCTGGGATGGGAAGATGTTGGAGAGAAACCTCCTTTGATTCTCATTGGTGTAAGACAGGGGTAGGCAACCTTGGCTCTTTTATGACTCGTGGACTTCAACTCCCAGAATTCCTGAGCCAGCCATGCTGAGGGGAAAGGGAGAGGTTTCCAAGCTGAACCATGCTGGCTCAGGAATTCTGGGAGTTGAAGTCCACCAGTCATAAAAGAGCCAAGGTTGCCTACCCCTGGTATAAGACAATGTTTCCCAATCTTCCACCATTTTAAGATGTGTGGACTTCCAACTTCCAGAATGTTCCAGCCAGCAATGCTGAGGTAACCCTTTGAGATAAGCTAAATCAGGAAACAGACTCCATTAAGAAACACTGCAAGTCTACTTTATGAAAATAGCTTATAATAACGGACTTTTGAAACCCTTACAGCAATTGCCCCCATAGAGAGTCAAAGAGTGCAATTTTAAGCTTCTCTCCCATCCCTCCTACTTTCTCCAAACGTAATTCATATTTTGCTACCAGCTTCTGTATTTCTTTTCAAGGTCATCTCTGATTGAATTTCAAAGTCATCTGTGAATTCCGGTTCAGCCATCTCTCGTTCTACTTCCCTTGCGTAAGCCAGTGGGCTGAAATAGCTACTGCAAATGTCCATACTCTGCCTAGGGGAATATGGTTTAATCATTTAAACACACTTTCTCTTTGCTTGTGCAGACAAAAAGCAAGTTTTGTCAGAGGGCTGCAATTTCCTGTGCCTACGGGGATTTAGGTTTAGTCATCTGTCAAAGGTTGCTATCCTTTGCTGTGTAAATGGAATAATTCAAAGGAAGAGCGTGCTTAAAAGGAATTACAAAGCCTATGTTCCAGTGGGGGGATTCAGCCAGTTTGCACCAGTTCGTACCAGTTCGGCATTTTTTGTTGCCCAGGCCCAGAATGGACTTCCGGAAGCGGCATCCACACAGAGAACCGGTTGTTCACATATTTGAATCCTACCACTGCTATGTTCCCCAGCTTTGCTAGCGCAAGCCCGCTGATCATAAACTTTGTCTCAGCTTAATTGTTTGAAAATATATAATGGCTATGAAAGCAGCAAATGAAGATAAGAACCAAAATGATATGAATTTATTTTATTGAAAAGCAATATTTCAAACTATCTCTTAAAATTTTGTTTTATGCATATACAATTAACCAGGCAATCTTTAATCTTAAAGGAAATGAAAACGTAAAAAAAATTAAATATATGAGGCTAAGAGCGAAAAGAAAGAACAAAATCTACCTAACATTTTTCATTTGTTCAGGAGTCACTGCTTCCCTAATAAATTCAGTACTATACTGTGAACAATACAAAAATAACATTCAGGGTTATCCCAATGTTTGGGGAATAATAACACATATTGCTGCATCTTTTGACTAGTAGAAAATGTTGCCTTTTCCAAAACAGACAAAAATGACACATTGTTTGTCATCTGAAATGATGTAATATGGCATTTGGAATGATAAAAGTTTTTATATCTTTGGAATGATATAACTTTATGTGTATATACTAAGAACTTACATGCCAGAGACAAATCCCTTGTATGTCCAATCACACTTGGCCAATAAAGAATTCTGTTCTGTTCTGTTCTGTGCTGTGCTGTGCTGTGCTGTCTGTTCCTTTTCCAATTTCTTAATATAATTCTTTTAGCCACTGCCTCATGCCCAATGCAGCCACAATTCCTGATACAAACAGTCAAATTCCAAAACTTTGGTATATAGTTCAACACTAAATTAACATTTAAAGTGTTTCCCATTAATCTGCTTCTATTCTTTAATACACTATCGCCAAACAAGGCAAACTGATCACATGAACATATCATATGGGTCAATGAGCCCTCAATTTTTGTATACCTCCAGCTTAGAAAATCTGATGTCCATCCTTTCAAACACATTTTTTGTATTCAGCTTTATTTATTGAGGAGGGAAGTTTCCAACAGGCGCTGACTGTCTTCCAAGAAGGGCGCGGTGTGATCGAAAGAGGAAACAAGACAAACGTGGAGGGCTAACAACTAGGCCAGGGGTAGGCAACCTTGGCTCTTTTATGACTCGTGGACTTCAACTCCCAGAATTCCTGAGCCACCATGGCTCAGCATGGAAACCTCTCCCTTTCCCCTCAGCATGGCTGGCTCAGGAATTCTGGGAATTGAAGTCCACAAGTCATAAAAGAGCCAAGGTTGCCTACCCCTGAACTAGGCGAAAGACTATCTATGTAGAGTGTCCCCACCATCTATTTTGTTTGCTAATGTTCGATCCTTAGAGCCTAAAATGGATTACACGAAGCTAGATTTAAGAACAAACTGGGGGGGTGGGTGGGGTGAGAAACTGCTGTGTCATCATTGCAACAGACAATTGGTTAAAGCATTCTGTCCCGGATAATGATGTTAGTTTGGGTGGAATCTTTTTTTTTTTCCAAAATTTTATTTATAATGCAATTAAAAAAAAACATTGGATATAACGTGACATTCCAGTATATACCTTCTTATCAAATTATTCCACATTTTACAATCGATTCTTNTTCTCTCTTCTTCTCCCTCTCCCTCTCCCTCTCTTCCTCCTTCCCTCTCCCTCTCCCCCTCCCTCCCTCCCTCCCTCTCCCCTTCTTTTCCCTCCCTCTCTCCTCTCGCTCCCTCTCCCTCCCTCCCTCCCTCTCTCTGCCTGAAACTGATTTTGTCCTTTTTCCAATTTAGGCTCATTCCACCTTTGAATCAGCTCGAGCTCCTGAGAAACCTGAAGAGCAAATCAGGATTAACTTTCAGGTTAGTAACGGCCAAGACTGACTTCTGGGAAAATAAGCTTAGCGCCTGAAACAGGATTATTATGGTTTTACGCAGAAGTTCTTGAAAACAAAGTCGTAAATCCCAGCGAAGGGGAATTGTAGAGAACCGCAGAGATGAGTGGTTGGAGAGGAAAGATGGACAAATATGAATTAAGTCTGGGATGGGAAGATGTTGGAGAGAAATCTCCTTTGATTCTCATTGGTATAAGACAGGGGTAGGCAACCTTGGCTCTTTTATGACTCGAGGACTTCAACTCCCAGAATTCCTGAGCCAGCCATGCTGAGGGGAAAGGGAGAGGTTTCCAAGCTGAACCATGCTGGCTCAGGAATTCTGGGAGTTGAAGTCCACAAGTCATAAAAGAACCAAGGCTGCCTACCCCTGGTATAAGACAATGTTTCCCAACCTTCCACCATTTTAAGATGTGTGGACTTCCAACTTCCAGAATGTTCCAGCCAGCAATGCTGAGGTAGCCTTTGAGATAAGCTAAATCAGGAAACAGACCACATTAAGAAACACTGCAAGTCTACTTTATGAAAATAGCTTATAATAACGGACTTTTGAAACCCTTACAGCAATTGCCCCCATAGAGAGTCAAAGAGTGCAATTTTAAGCTTCTCTCTCATCCCTCCTACTTTCTCCAAACTTAATTCATGTTTTGCTACCAGCTTCTGTATCTCTTTTCAAGGTCATCTCTGATTGAATTTCAAGGTCATCTCTGAATTCCGGTTCAGCCATCTCTCGTTCTACTTCCCTTGCGTAAGCCAGTGGGCTTAAATAGCTACTGCAAATGTCCATACTCTGCCCAGGGGAATATGGTTTAATCATTTAAACACACTTTCTCTTTGCTTGTGCAGACAAAAAGCAAGTTTTGTCAGAGGGCTGCAATTTCCTGTGCGATGGGAATTTAGGTTTAGTCATCTGTCAAAAGTTGCTATCCTTTGCTGTGTAAATGGAATAATTCAAAGGAAGAGTGTGCTTGGAAGGAATTACAAAGCCTATGTTCCAGTGGGGGGATTCAGCCAGTTTGCACCAGTTCATACCAGTTCGGCATTTTTTGTTGCCCAGGCCCAGAATGGACTTCCGGAAGCGGCATCCACACAGAGAACCGGTTGTTCACATATTTGAATCCTACCACTGCTATGTTCCCCAGCTTTGCTAGCGCAAGCCCGCTGATCATAAACTTTGTCTCAGCTTAATTGTTTGAAAATATATAATGGCTATGAAAGCAGCAAATGAAGATAAGAACCAAAATGATATGAATTTATTTTATTGAAAAGCAATATTTCAAACTATCTCTTAAAATTTTGTTTTATGCATACACAATTAACCAGGCAATCTTTAATCTTAAAGGAAATGAAAACGTAAAAAAAATTAAATATATGAGGCTAAGAGCGAAAAGAAAGAACAAAATCTACCTAACATTTTTCATTTGTTCAGGAGTCACTGCTTCCCTAATAAATTCAGTACTATACTGTGAACAATACAAAAATAACATTCAGGGTTATCCCAATGTTTGGGGAATAATAACACATATTGCTGCATCTTTTGACTAGTAGAAAATGTTGCCTTTTCCAAAACAGACAAAAATGACACATTGTTTGTCATCTGAAATGATATAATATGGCATTTGGAATGATAAAAGTTTTTATAACTTTGGAATGATATAACTTTATGTGTATATACTAAGAACTTACATGCCAGAGACAAATCCCTTGTATGTCCAATCACACTTGGCCAATAAAGAATTCTGTTCTGTTCTGTTCTGTGCTGTGCTGTGCTGTCTGTTCCTTTTCCAATTTCTTAATATAATTCTGATAGCCACTGCCTCATGCCCAATGCAGCCACAATTCCTGACACAAAGTCAAATTCCAAAACTTTGCTATATAGTTCAACACTAAATTAACATTTAAAGTGTTTCCCATTAATCTGCTTCTATACTTTAATACACTATCCCCAAACAAGGCAAACTGATCACATGAACATATCATACGGGTCAATGAGCCCTCAATTTTTTTATACCTGCAGCAAAGAAAATCTGATGTCCATCCTTTCAAACACATTCTTTGTATTCAGCTTTATTTATTGAGGAGGGAAGTTTCCAACAGGCGCTGACCGTCTTCAAAGAAGGGTGCGGTGTGATCGAAAGAGGAAACGAGGCAAACGTGGAGGGCTAACAACTAGGCCAGGGGTAGGCAACCTTGGCTCTTTTATGACTCGTGGACTTCAACTCCCAGAATTCCTGAGCCACCATGGCTCAGCATGGAAACCTCTCCCTTTCCCCTCAGCATGGCTGGCTCAGGAATTCTGGGAATTGAAGTCCACAAGTCATAAAAGAGCCAAGGTTGCCTACCCCTGAACTAGGCGAAAGACTATCTATGTAGAGTGTCCCCACCATCTATTTTGTTTGCTGATGTTCGATCCTTAGAGCCTAAAATGGATTACACGAAGCTAGATTTAAGAACAAACCGGGGTGGTGGTGGTGGTTGAGAAACTGCTGTGTCATCATTGCAACAGACAATTGGTTAAAGCATTCTGTCCCGGATAATGATGTTAGTTTGGGTGGAATCTTTTTTTTTTTCCAAAATTTTATTTATAATGCAATTAAAAAAAAACATTGGATATAACGTGACATTCCAGTATATACCTTCTTATCAAATTATTCCACATTTTACAATCGATTCTTCGTCTTTGAATATACATCTAAATTTTATATACAATACTTAATCTATTTCTCTATTTGCTAACCTAAAATTACATAAATTTCTATCTTAACGCTAGCCTATAATCCCAACCGCCCTCCTCGAATCCCTCCAGCAGTAAAATTTATCCCAGGTTTCGAAATAAACTGATCTACATTTGTCTTTCGATACCATTGTGAGCCTGTCCATTTCCGCACATGATAATATTTTATATATCTCACCTTTGTGCTGGAAATGTAAAACAGAAATAGGATCATATTATCATATGTGGTGGGAATGCTCAAAGGCTTGTGAGTGTTGGAACAGGATACGAAGATGGCTGAAAGATATATTAATGTTGGACTTAGAGTTAAAACCTGAACTTTTCCTGTTGGGAATAACTACAGAGAAATACAATAAGGCAGTGATGGCGAACCTTTTAGAGACCGAGTGCCCAAACTGCAACCCAAAACCCACTTATCCATCGTCGGGTGCCGGGTGGGTGTGGCCCATTGGGTGGGCGTAGCCCATTGGGTGGGCGTGGCTGCGGTGGTAACGGCAGACTGGGTGGGACTAAAAAGTTCAATCAATCAATTCCAACTTTGCAAGATCTTTTTTTTCCCCACGAGAAGTTGAAATTGACTGATTGATTGAACCTCTTTTTTTTTTTTTTGCACACGATGGTGGAGGTCTAAAGCGAAAAGGTTTTATAAAACCCAGCTGAAGGCCTAGGACTGGGGCGACGGCGCGTGTGCCCACAGAGAGGGCTCTGAGTGCCACCTCTGGCACCCGTGCCATAGGTTCGCCACCACTGCAATAAGGGAACAATCTATTTGCTGTTACATATCTTGACTGCAGCTAGGCTAGCGTTTGCGCAAAAATGGAAGAGCAAAGAAATTCCCACAGTGGGTGGAATCTTTTGAGAGCATTTTTTTTTAAATATGTGCCAGTGTGTTCACACAAAAAAGTGACAATAAAGGTTATCTTGTCTTATCTCATTTGGGTCTTGGGTCTTTTTGGGGGGTATCTTTGAACTGGAATAGAAGAACTCGCTGTGGCCAGCTATCCATGGCCAGCTTGCAGTGGGACAACTCAATACGGGACCACATCACGGGACAACTCAATACGAGATAACTATAATATTATTAATAATGTTACTAATAATATTAAGAGACGAATGGATCTAGACAACAGTTATCTCGCATTGCGTTGTCCCATGGAGACTTGCGCTATGGTGACTTGGCGGCAAGTTGGTGGCAGCAAGTTGTTGTAGCCCCTCTTTGCGTGAGCCTATAAGTCTTTCCTCTGTTTTGTTATTCAGTTTTGTTTGGAGTTCCTGATCCATGTTTTTCCTCACTGCAGACGTGGCTTCATGGCTAACATTTCTATTTAATTCTTCTAATTTTAATTGACATGTAGTACTTTTTTTTTTTACTTTTTATCTTACAGTAAGCCATTAGATCAATGAGATGGGCAGCATAAAAATTTAATAAATATAGGAAGTCCTCGCCTTATCAACAGTTTGTTTAGTGACCACTCAAAGTTGCAGTGGTCCTGAAAAAAATGACATGACCAATTTTCACACTTACGACCATGGCAGCATCCCCGTGGTCACGTGATCAAAATTCAGACGCTTGGCAACAGACTCATATTTATGACCGTTGCCATGTCCCGGGGTCATGTGATCCCCTTTTGCGACCTTCTGACAAGCAAAATCAGATTCACTTAACAACTGTGTTACTAATTTAACACCTGCAGTGATTCACTTAATAACTGCGGCAAGAAAGGGTGTGAAATGGGGCAAAACTCACTTAACAAATGTCTTGCTTAGCAGCAGGAATTTGGGGCACAGTTGTGGATGTAAGTCGAAGACTACCTGTAAGTGAGTAAATGAATGAATGAATGAATGAAGGAATGAATGAATGAATGAATGAAGGAATGAATAAATAAATAAATAAATAACATCCTTCTGTTTCTCTTTAAGGAAAGAACAGCAGCCAGAATCATCTCCAAGGTCTGTATATTTTACCAAAATTTATCCTTTATGCCTTCCCACCTCACTCTCTTTCTCTTTATGTCTGTGTTCCCGTTCTCTTTGTGTCATGTGTGTGACGCATCCTAGCAACAAGGATTCGAGAGCCATTCAAACAAACATTGTGAATGTTCAACCCGCTCGCATCTCCTGCTAGGAAACCATGTCCACATGCCTTGTATGGACAACCCGTAGCAGTGGGTCTTTGATCCTCTTTTCCCACCTTTCCCGTGACAATATGACTTTTAGCAGGTGGGAGTTGTAACGCAGGTGCTGCAGCGGCCTCCAGATTACTGCTGAGATCTGGCACTGCGCTATCAAAAATGGAAAAGTACAAGGAAGATCCGTGCCTTGTAGGAGAGCTGGCATAATGGGTCTCGATTCCCTAAATTAAGGACTTAAACCAGGTTTCCCAAGTTGTTGTATTCCAGGTGTGTTGGGCTGAGCCCCATCAGTCTCCAGCTCATAATCATGGTGGCTGAAGAATGATGGGAGTTATAGTCCTGCTCGGTGGGAGAACACCAGGCTGGGAAAGGCGATTCCGAAGTGACAACGAAACGGTGATCATTTCCCATAATCCTCTCTTCCCTCACCTGTATCTCTTTACCTTTCTTTTGGTCCCAACAACAGTGAAAGAAAGGACGTTCATATACCCACCGACATTTGTCACACATCCCTGTTTTTGAGCAAAGAAAGGCAGAGTTCTCTCTGGCTACATCAGTTCCTTGCAAACTTTGTTCAAAGCACATAGGTCCCCTGACTATCCGCCTTCCACACTGGGTGATGGTTTGCGGAGTGCTGAAGATCAGACTGCAGGTTTAGTTCAAGCGAAAGGCCTAAACATCTACGGGATGCAGCTTTGCTGATAGAACTAATCCTAGTTCCACTCATGCTTTTGTGTGAACCCATGGTAGAGTGCAGTGGAACCACAGCAGCTCAACCATTTCAAATGTAGGTCGAACAAAATGGCTGCCGTTAGGTCTCTAGCAAGGGGACAGTCTGGCCATTCATGGACAGTGGGTCAAATGAAGGCTCGGTGGATATAGCCCAGGGGTGGGCAACCTTGGCTCTTTTATGACTCGTGGACTTCAACTCCCAGAATTCCTGAGCCAGCCACACTGAGGGGAAAGGGAGAGGTTTCCAAGCTGAGCCATGCTGGCTCAGGAATTCTGGGAGTTGAAGTCCACGAGTCATAAAAGAGCCAAGGTTGCCTACCCCTGGTATAGCCCAATGTTTTTCAAACTTGGCAACTTTAAGAAAGTGCGGACTTCAACATAGTTTGCCTCCTGGAGTTGTGGGTGCTCTACTGCTGGAGGTTTTCAAGAAAAGATTGGAGATTCATTGTCTGTGATGGTAGAAGGACACCTGCCTTGAGCATGGGGTTGGACTAGAGGACCTCCAAGCTCCCTTCCAATCCTATGATTCTGTGTTCTATCTCAGTGACTTCGGAAGTCAATTAGTAGGCTGCATTTATACCTCCAAAGATTGTGAGCTAAAGTCCTTTTCAAGATAAAAATTCTTAATATTCTTAATTTGCCTCTTTCTGCCCTGACTTGAAGATGCTAGTGAGATGCATATAGGATTCAACTTAGCTACAGTGACAGATCAGGGCTATCTAGTTACAGGTAGCCCTTGACTTACAACCATTCAGTTAGTGACCGTTTGAAATTATCACGGCACTGGAAAAAGTGACTTATGACTGTTTTTCACTCTTATAACCCTGGCAGCATCCCCATGGTTTCTGGAATTTCAATTTTACCATGGGGTAGGAAGGCACCATCCTCACTTCTTTCTTGATTGTTCTGAACATTTTGTCTCCTTTCTGGGGAAAACTGGATGAGTCATAGAAAGTGTTTAGACTATCTGTGGACCTGTTCCTGGCTAGTCTTGATGGAGAGATCCAGTTTTGGTCACCACATTACAAAAAAAGATGTTGAGACTTTGCAAAAAGTGCAAAGAAGAGCAGCTAAGATGATTAAGGGCCTGGAGACAAAAACACGAAGAACGGTTGCAGGAATTGGGTAGGGTTAGTCTAGAGCAGTGATGGCGAACCTTTTAGAGACAGAGTGCCCAAAAACTGGCTCCGCCCCCGCTCCACCCCCTGCCTGCCCCTGCTCCACCCCCACCCCGCCTGCCCACAGGGCCACTCACCGTCTCCAGGGCCCACCGTAGATTGCCCAGCAGCGCCATGGCAGCCACGCCCTCTGCCCGCGCCCCGCAGCATCAACTGTGCGCGATGGGGCATGAGGGCAGAGTCTTGTCTATGTTGCCTGGCTGCCATGTCCTTGGCTGCACTGCTCCACATGGGCCACGCTCGGGGGCAACTCTTCTCCAGGAGGGCTGCTGGTGAGGAGGGGGTCACGGAGGCAAGCAAGGCTGGGGCAATGGCACATGTGCCCACAGAGAGGGCTCCAAATGCCGCCTCTGGCACCCATGCCATAGGTTCGCCACCACTGGTCTAGAGAAAAGGACTAGGGATGACATAATAGCAGTATTCCAGTATTTGAGGGGCTGCCACAAAGAAGAGGGGGGGGTCATCTTATTTTCCAAAGCAGCAGAATGCAAGACAAGAAACGATGGATGGAAACTAATCAAGGAGAGAAGCAACCTGGAATTAAGGAGAAACTTCCTAACAGTGAGGACAATCAACCAGTGGAACTACTTGCCCCCAGAAGTTGTGGGTGCTTCATCTCTGGAGGTTTTTAAGAAAAGACGGGACAGTCACCTGTCTGAAATGGTATAGGATCTCCTGCTTGAGCAGGGGGTTGGATTAGAACAGGGGCCCTCAACCATGGCAACTTTAAGACTTGTGGACTTCAACTCCCAGAATTCCTCAGCCAGCAGTGTTGTTAGATGATCATCTCTGGATAATCAGGATAGATAATCTACTGCAGGTAGTCCTCGATTTACAACCTCATTTAGTGACTGTTTGAACTTACAATGACACTGAAAAGAGTGACTTATGACCATTTTTCACACTTATACCATTGCAGCATCTCTGCGATCAAGATTTGGATGCTTGGCAACTGGCGTGTATTTATGATGTTGAGGTGTCCCAGAGTCATGTGATCAGTTTTTGCAACCCCCTGACAAGCAAAAGTAACAGGAAACCACATTCACTTAACAACCAGCTGATTCCTTTGACAACTGCAGTGATTTACCTAACTGTAGCAAAATAAGGTTGAAAAATCAGCCACTACTCACCTGATTGCTGCCTCATTTAACATAGGAAATTTTGTTCCTGATTGAGGGTTGTTAGCTGAGGACTGCCTCTTAAAGGGACATTGCCATGCACGGCTCCATTTCCTGCTGACAAGTGTGGACAGTGTTTTGTTTTCTCCAAACTTTTAGTCATGCGTACACGTATGTGGGCATCTCCTATTTAGCTCTTAGACAAATGTCTGGATGAAATATACGCAGAATTTTAATAGGTGTGGAGAAATTGTTTTGATTCTAGATTACGGCTCTTCAAACTTGGCCCTTTTATGACTTGTGGACTTCAACTCCCAGAATTCCTCAGCCAGGCATGCTGGCTGAGGAATTCTGGGCGTTGAAGTCCACAAGTCATAAAAGGGCCAAGTTTGAAGACCCCCTGATCTAGATCCAGGGATCTCCAAACTCGGCAACTTTAAGACTTGTGGACTTCAACTCCCAGAGTTCCTGAGCCAGCCATGCTGGGAGTTGAAATCCACAAGCCTTAAGGTCGCCAAATTTGGAGGCCCCTGTTCTAGACATAAACAAGGTTTTGATCTACTTTCTGGAATCTTCTGTGCAGAAAGTGAACCACGGGTGAAGTGAAGACCAGCTAATGGTGAAGCTCCAGTTCACAAATGCAGTCCTCAAAAAAAAATAATAATACACTTTTGACAAAATTGATTTTATTTTGGTTATTGTTTTCTGGGTAGTTGAGCATTTTAATATACTCATAAGGACTGGCCAAATTAGATAGCCTGACTCATTGGTGTGCTATGAGATAAGCTGGTATCATAAATTATTTGATGTGGATCTCTAGATTGATGCTTTCTAGAATCTATTAGAACAGGTTATCTGAAATAACATGATGGTCTTTGGGCCAAGCCAGATGCTATGTAAGAGATACGGAATATCCTGTAGAGCAGGGGTGTCCAACTTAGGCAATTTTAAGACCTGTGGACTTCAACTCCCAGAATTCCTCTGGTAGCATGGGTGGCTGGGGAATTGTGGGAGTTGAAGTCCACAGGTCTTAAAATTGTCATGGTTAGACACCCCTGCAATAGATGAAGCCATGCTGGCTAAGAATATTTGGAGTGAAATCCAATGAATCCAGAAGTATCAGATTGGGAAGGGGTAACTTAATAGAAAATTAAATTAGTGCTTCTCTGACTCCCTCTATATTAAAAACAATCCCTAACGTGAATGTATTTTAGCTATTAATTTGGCAATTACCACTTTTGGGGGTACATCATCCAACTTCCCTGGGATACCTATTTCCAGGGTCCTGGGGGTGCTTTAATCTAACTAATCTTTAGAGGCAAATAATATCTTTTTTTTTTAATTAAAGCATAAATCAGTTAACGAAGAATTGCAAACTAGGTTACTACTAACACTGCTAATAAATTTCCATATTATAATCCCAAATAACAACCTCTTATTAGGTCTCTCAAAATAAATTGTTAAGACATATGGTTTTGGGTTTTTTTTGGTAAAAACTGATTCTGCATGTTTTCCAATCTAATCTAATCTAATCTAATCTAATCTAATCTAATCTAATCTAATCCAATCCAATCCAATATTGTATAATATAATATAATATAATATAATATAATATAATATAATATAATATAATATAATATAATATAATATAATATAATATAATATAATATAATATAATATAATATAGCATAGCATAGCATAGCATAGCATAGCATAGCATAGCATAGCATAGCATAATATAATATAATATAATATAATACAATATACTAATACTATACTATACTATAATAAATATACTATACTATACTATACTATACTATACTATACTATACTATACTATACTATACTATACTATACTATACTATACTAAATATACTATACTATACTATACTATACTATACTATACTATAATATAACATAATATAACATAGTATAGTATAGTATAGTATAGTATAGTATAATTATTTTTTAAAAAAATAATTTAATTTAATTTAATTTAAATCTATTTTATTTTTGGACTGAAGTAATGAACAGAAGTTAAGATCAAGATTAGCTTTACTTGAGGTTTTGTTGAGTTTGGTTGAATATTTGAGAGGCTGTCATAGAGAAGAAGGGGTCATCCTATTCTCCAGAGCACCTGAAGGCAGAACAAAAAACAAAAACTGGATAGAAACTAGTCAAGGAGAGAAGCAACCTAGAACTAAGGAGGAATTTCTCGAACACTTGCCTCCAGAAGTTGTGGATGCCCCATCACTAAAGGTTTTTAAGAAGAGATCGGACAACCACTTGTCTGATATTATATACTCCTGCTCGAGCAGTGGGTTGGACTAGAAGACCTCCAAGGTCCCCTCCAACTCTTGTCGTTCTGTTATTCTGTTAAACATAGCCCCCCCCCCCTTGCTTCTACAACGTGTCTGGTTGGGTAGGAGCCATCTGGTCTAACTTTTTTACTCTCCCCTCATTTCCAGTCAAGCCACTTCGTGCAGAAAATCTTTTTGTGGATGCTGCTCAGGAACCTCTAGGTACCACAGCAAGCGCTTTGCACCGAACCGATCCAAAGCTGCACGCTCATTCTCTCTCTCTCTCTCTCTCTCTCTCTTCTCTCTGTGTCTTTTTCTTTTCTCGCTACCTTCTGTTCTGCCCATTCATCTGCTTAATAGAGGTGAGCTGTGCTAAGCGAAAGACGTTGGCAGCATCTCTCTGCGATTTGCTTCGGGGAGCGTAGCTTAGCAAAATGTTTTCCAGGCAGGAGACAAGCAAAACATTTAAGGGTTCAAGGACAACCAGTATTAAAAACTCCACACTCTAATCTCGGGCGTAATTCAGGTTGTCCTCGACCTGTGACCACAATTGAGCCCAAAATTTCTGTTGTTAAGTGAGGCATTCGTTAAGTGAGTGTTCCCCCTGTTTTATGAATCTTTCTTGCCACCGTTCTTAAGTGAATCACTGCACTTGTTAAGTTAGTCACACGGTCGTTAAGCGAATCTGGCTTCCCCCATTGACTTTGCATGCCAGAAGTCAATGGGGGAAGGGGGATCACATGACCCCGGGACACTGCATGATCGCAAAAGGGGATCACATGACCCCGGGACACTGCAACCGTCATAAATATGAGTCGGTTGCCAAGTGTCTGAATTTGGATCATGTGATCCTGGGGATGCTGCAGTTGTCATTAAGTGTGAAAAACGGTCATGTCACTTTTTTCAGTGCCGTGGTAACTTTCAATGGTCACTAAATGAACTGTTGTAAGTCGAGAACCACCTGTATTAAAGGGAAAGTTTGTTCTTTTATGCTTTTGTAGTTCCATTATAGCGAGTCCTCAATTTATAACCATTTGTTTAGTGACAACAGCAAAGGGACAACAGCACTGAAAAAAGTGACTTGTGACCAGTTCTCACACCTTGAACTGTTGCAGAACACGGAGGTCACATGACCAACATTTGGACACTTGGCAATGTCACCTATGACAGTCACAGCATCCTGGGGGGTCATGCGATCATCATTGGTGCTTTTTTCACCCAGCTTCCAACAAGCAAAATCAATGGGGGAAGCAGGATTTGCTTAACAACCGTGTGCTTCGCATAACAACTGCAGTGATTCTTTTTAAGAACCCTGGTGAAAGGTTCATAAAACCAGGCGCGACTCATTTAACAGCCGCCCTGCTTAGCAACTGAAATTGTGATCCCATTTGTAATGGTAAGTCGCGGACTACCATCTAGACCAGGGGTAGGCAACCTTGGCTCTTTTATGACTGGTGGACTTCAACTCCCAGAATTCCTGAGCCAGCCACACTGAGGGGAAAGGGAGAGGTTTCCATGCTGAGCCATGCCTGGGCTCAGGAATTCTGGGAGTTGAAGTCCACGAGTCATAAGAGAGCCAAGGTTGCCTACCGCTGATCTAGACAATTCTTGTTTTAGAACCTAATAAATGGAGGGATTTTTCCTCTTATGGATCTTCTAGCACAGAGGTCCCCAACCTTTTGGGCACCAGGGACCGGTTCCATGGAGAGAGGTTTTTCTGCAGGCTGGAGATTTCGTGGTTTCGTGTGCTGCCTGCATTTCGCGGATGGGGCTTTGCTTGTTTGTGTGGACCGGTTGTTGGTTACTGGTCCACGGACCGGGGATTGGGGACCCTGTTCTAGCACAGTGGTCCCCAACCTTTGTGGCTTGGTGGCCCATCTGGGGGGCAAGAGGGGAACCGGGCTGCACAAGTGGCGGGCTGACATGGGTGTGCGCACGTTTGTGTAGCTTCACTCATGCAAGAGAGGAGAAAAGTCTTTGGGGCGCGGTTCTGCGCTCCATCAGGCTTCTCTGCACCAAAAGCTTTTGCAAAGGGACTGAAGGCCTGAAGCGGCGCCAGATCTCTCCCCTGAAGGGCGGAGAAGATAAGTCTTTGTGGGCGGGGTTTTCGCACTCCTTCAGACTCACCGAGGCTGCCCGATGCTCCGAAAGTGGATCCGGTGTCCTGCGCAGGCAGCCTCAGTGAGCAGGGCCTTTTCATCCCACTCAGCCTCTGCTCTCACGGCTCTGCTTTTGGAGCTGCGGCAGCAGATGGCTTGGCGGCCTGGCTGAGGGAGGAGGACAGGGGAACTGGGCCATGCTAGCAGCAGGCCGGCACGCAGTGTGCGCACGCAGCTCCACTCACACAAGAAGAGAAGCCTTTGGGGCACCACTTGTGTTAGTGTAGCTGCGCGCGCGCTCCAGCCTATCGCTTGTGCGGCCCAGTTTCAAATAGGCCATGGGCCGGTAGTGGGCCGAAGCCCGGGGTTTGGGGACCCCTGTACTACTAAGCAGGAAGAGATACATTAGTCTGAATTTACTTTAAGTGCAGGTCTCCTTTAGTGGGAATTCAGCATGACTTCAGCTTTGGCAAACCAGGGTTTGGGCATTGTTGTCAGATCACGCAATGTTGGTTCTCTGGTTGACTCTGAGAGAGTTAAATCAGCTTGCTTCACCTGACATGATTGGTCAGGAAAAAGCGTGCTCTGTAACTTTAATGAGATCTAGAAACTATGGTGACAAAGCTCCTTCCTTTCTGTAAAAGTCAAACTCTTAGGAGGCACATCTTGTAGCACTTCAGCGGCTAATTCATCCCTCTGCGTGACGGGTTTTTGTTTTTTTCAGTTGAGTGTGGACCTGTTGGTGCAAAGGCCCTGTGAGATTCACAAATGTTTGATTGGTTGATGAATGTAAGAAAAACCAAATGTATAGGTATAGTATAGGGGGTACCTTGCTCAATAGTAGCAACTGTGAGAGGGATCTCGGAGTCCTAGTGGACAATCACTTAAATATGAGTCAGCCGTGTGCTGCAGCTACCAAAAAAGGCAACACACTGCTAGGCTACATTAACAGAGGGATAGAATCAAGATCACGTGAAGTGTTAATACCACTTTACAAGGCCTTGGTAAGGCCACACTTGGAATACTGCATCCAGTTTTGGTCACCACGATGTAAAAAAGATGTTGAGACTTTAGAAAGAGTGCAGAGAAGAGCAACAAAGATGATTAGGGGACTGGAGACTAAAACATATAAGGAACGGTTGCTGGAATTGGGTATGTCTAGTTTAACGAAGAAAAGGACGAGGGGGGACATGATAGCAGTCTTCCAATATCTCAGGGGCTGCCCCAAAGAAGAGGGAGTCAAGCTATTACCCAAAGCACCTGAAGGCAGGACAAGAAGCAACGGATGGAAACTGATCAAGGAGAGAAGCAACTTAGAACTAAGGAGAAACTTCCTGACAGTTAGAACAATTAACCAGTGGAACAACCTGCCTCCAGAAGCAGTGAATGCTCCAACACTGGAAGTCTTTAAGAAGAGACTGGACAGCCATTTGTCTGAAATGGTGTAGGGTTCCTGCCTGAGCAGGGGGTTGGACTCGATGATCTCCAAGGTCCCTTCCAACTAATAATAATAATAATAATAATAATAATAATAATAATAATAATAATAATAATAATAATAATAATAATAATAATAATAATAATAATAATAATACTGAAAAAGACAGAAGCTCTCTGTCTCTAAAATATACCTACCTACCTTTTTTATTTTCATTTTTTTATGTTATAGCAAGAAGGACCTACGTTACAAAGGTGCTTTTTTTTTTAAAGGGCAACTGTTCTTTGTTTTCCCTTGAAGACATTTTGCTTCTCATCCAAGACTTCTTCAGTTCTGACTGAAGGGTGGAGGATGGAAGGATTTATATTCCTTGCAGTCATCTGGGTTGTTAGCACTCTTTCTGAGAATCATTGAGGCCGCTTGGAGGTTTAGGCTAACGACCAGGTGACAGCAAGGAATATAAATGCTTCCATCCTCCACCCTTCAGTCAGAACTGAAGAAGCTCTTTGGATGAGAAGCGAAACGTCTTCAAGGAAAAAAAAAGTCCAGTTTCCTTTTGGAAAAAAGCACCTTTGGCACAACCATGATCTGGATGACTGAGAATCTCCTTAGACCAGGGCTAGGCAACCTTGGCTCTTTTATGACTCGTGGACTTCAACTCCCAGAATTCCTGAACCAGCCATGCTGAGGGAAAAGGGAGAGGTTTCCATGCTGAGCCATGCTGGCTCAGGAATTCTGGGAGTTGAAGTCTACGAGTCATAAAAGAGCCATGGTTGCCTACCCCTGCCTTAGACAGTTACAAAGGCAAAATGGTGATCAGGCTATTCTGAATAATAGAAAGGAAGCCAGCATAATCAAAGCTTAAATTTATTCTTGGCATAGCTGGGAGAAGGTGTCCTAGAATCTTTGAATTTGGGTTGGGCCAGTCTAAAGAAAAGAAGAAATAAGGGAGACATGATAGCCTTATTCCAGTATCTGAGGGGCTGCCACAAGGCAGAGAGGGGTCAGGTTGGTCACCGGAGCACCAGAGGGAAGGACGAGAAACAATGGTTGGAAACTGATCAAAGAGAGAAACAACCTGGAATTAAGGAGAAACTTCCTGACAGTGAGGACAATCAACCAGTGGAAGAGCTTTGCCTCCAGAAATCATGGGCGCTCCATCACTGGAGGTTTTTAAGAAGAGACTGGACAATCACCTGTCTGAGATGGTATAGGTCCTCCTGCTTGAGCAGGGGGCTAGACTAGAAGACCTCCCAGGTCCCTTCCACCTCTGTTCTATGTTATTTATGTGTCCGTGTATGCTTGTCAGATTTGTGAATCTCCTTCAGCCATCTGCCAGGAATGTGCCAATTCCTCTGTTAAAATCTTGGAATTACATTCATTTTGCATTAGAGGCGGGAGGAGAGATGTTTTCCGTTTACGCAAATGGCAACAGAATGTAATAAAATCGTGTTTGGCTAGTCAAACCACCCCAAAGCTGCACTTCAGCAACAGGAACAAAAGAGAAATTCAGAACTGTTGAAAGCTGCAATTAATTACGCTGGCTCGTCAGCCAATTTATTAAATTCGAGCAAAAATAATGTCTTTTCAAACCTCTAACATACTGCAGATCCAGTAGCACCTGCTTCTGTTTGATAATATTTGCTCCCCTCTGGCTTTGTCTCTCTTGGCAGTTTAACCCTGCAACATTCTCAAGGGCTACAGGTAGTCCTCAACTTACGACTACAATTCAGCCCAAAATTTCCATTGCTAAGTAGGTTAATAGCACGGTTGTTTTCCCGATTGACTTTGCATGTCAGAAGGTTCTATTCTATTCTATTCTATTCTATTCTATTCTATTCTGTTCTGTTCTGTTCTGTTCTGTTCCGTTCCGTTCCGTTCCGTTCCGTTCCGTTCCGTTCCGTTCCATTCCATTCTATTCTATTCTATTCTATTCTATTCTATTCTATTCCATTTTATTCCATTCCATTCCATTCCATTCCATTCCATTCCATTCTATTCTATTCTATTCTATTCTATTCTATTCTATTCTATTCTTCCATTCTATATTCCATTCCATTCTGTTCTGTTCTATTTTATACACCTTCAAGTTGCCAAGGTTGACAAACACTGACTTAAGTTGTCACATCTCCCCTGTAAATACTTTTATCCACACTAATACACAAATCTAATACACATAAATGTTTATTGGCCCCATGAGAGATGTTATTCAAAGCATCTATGCAAAAAAAGCTTTGTATAAATTAAAACTTCTTTTCATAAATGGTGCTGAGGTCCAGAAAGACCCCATTTATTTTGTCTTCTTCTTCATTCACTTGTGCTTCCCAATTTCACTGTCTTTCCAAAGTCTACCTGCATGTTGGAGCTAGTTAGCTCAGGTGGTAGATATCTGTCTGAAGGATGCTTAATGTGACATTAGATACAGCTAGTCCTTGACTTACAACTATTTGTTTAGTGATCCTTCAAAGTTATAATGGCACTAAAAAAAGTGGCTTATGACCTTTTTCACACTGATGACCGTTGCAGCATCCCCTTCGTCACATGATCAAAATTCAGACACTTGGCAACTGGTTCATATTTATGACGGTCGCAGTGTCCCGGTGTCATGTAATCCCCTTTTGTGACCTTCTGACAAGCAAAGTCAATGGGAATCCAGATTCACTTAACAACCGGGTTGCTAGCTTAACAACTGCGGTGATTCACTTAACAACTGTTGCAAGAAAGGTCGTAAAATAAGGCAAAACTCACTTAACGGTCTCATTTAGCAGCAGAAATTTTTGGCTCAATCGTGAGCCGTAAGGCGAAGACTACCTGTATAGCTTAACTTTTCTCCCATCTCGAGTCTTCTGGATGTTTGTGCAACTTCCAGATTTCCCAGTCAAAGGGGAAATTTTAAGAATCCAACTTGAATTCTGAAAAGCAGGGATTTTAGCATCCTTGGATCCCTGACAGTGTGTTCAAATTAACAACGCCAGGAAGTAAAGCTAGGATTTCTGCATGCAAGACTTGTGCCTTGAGAAATGGTCTTTCCCTTATTTGAGGGTTTCCTACCCTTGGGAATTTCCAGGAGGGTGGGACTCGAACTCCCAGAATTCCACAGTCAGCATGGCTATGGATGAGAATTCTGGGAGATGAAGTCCGCCCTCCTGGAAATCCCCAGGATTTTAACTGTAATATCAGTAACTGAGGTCACATGTTACTAGCATGATGTCTTGTTTCAGAGCCCACCTGCATCAGAGGTAAGAAAGAAAAGAGAGGACTTTAGCAAGCAAGGATGTTCATTGCACGCTAGTCCAATTTAGTGACCTATAGTTTGGCAGTCATTTTTTCCTTGATTGATTATCCAAAGCCAGTTACGGAAACCCCAGGAAGACGGCAGAGTTCAAACCAGCTTTGTGAGCAATCATAGGTTTCTAATCAAGCTGCCATCAAGATTTGGGCTTGCTGGGCATTATGGGGGATGTAGGAGAGTGGAGGGTTTGGGAAAAGCTGTCCTAAACAATGCAGATCTCTCTATATCAGTGATGGTGAACCTTTTAGAGACCGAGTGCCCAAACTGCAACCCAAAATCCACTTATGTATCGTCGGTTGCCGGGTGGGCGTGGCCCATTGGGTGGGCGTGGCCGCGGTGGTAACGGCAGACTGGGTGGGACTAAAAAGTTCAATCAATCAATTTCAACTTTGTAAGATCTTTTTTTTCCCCGAGAAGTTGAAATTGATTGATTGATTGAACCTTTTTTTTAATTTTTTTTGCACACAGCAGCAGAGGCCCAAAGCGAAAAGGTTTTATAAAACCCAGCTGAAGGCCTAGGATTGGGGCAACGGCACGCGTGCCCACAGAGAGGGCTCTGAGTGCGTGCCAAAGGCTCGCCACCACGGCTCTATATTATAGATTTTTCTATACTCCTTTTTCTATAACTAGGAAGTGAAGTCAATATTGTGTAGCAGGAAAGCAAAACAGCGTTTAGAACTGGTGAAAAGTAGGATTGGCTAGTGTTTGTAAGGATCAAGATGATTTTGCAAAGGTCTTCAGTCACATCAGGCATGTTTGAATCAAGTAAGAGGAAAACCTGCAATGGGAATGTATCTCTGAATGCCCAATGAATGTCTCCATCCGTGGAGAAATGGATATGGTGTGATAAGGAAGCAAGTAAGAAACGGAAATCGCCTTATGTTTCTCCATTGTGTACAATTGCATTAATCACCAGGAGCCATTATATGGCCAGTTACATCTCATTTGGACCTCTCAGCTTGGTTGTTTCCTTGCAGACGTTTCATTACCCAACTAAGCAACAGCATCAGTGCTAGAAGGGAGTGGGGAGTGGAGGAGAAGGAAAAGAGGAGGAGGAGGAGGAGGAGGAGGAGACTAACAACAACAACAACAATAGTAATCATCATCATCATCATCAACTGAGGTCCTTGGTGCTTTTTGAGCTTGGTTGTTTCCTTGCAGATGTTTCATTATCCAACTAGTTAACATCATCAGTGCTACCCTAGTTGGTTAATGAAAAACAACCAACCTCAGAGACCACCACGGACCACACAGTCCCCCACCCCTCCTCCTCCCTGCAAACCCTCCTCCCTCCATTTGTCCCGGTGTCTAGTTGTCTAGTTGTTGTGCAATGCCCTATAGGGCCACCCTGAGGGAAGGCGTTGAAACAGTTTATGTCCAGGATGTGAGGTGTCTGCAGATGTCTTCTCAGTCCTTCTCAGCTTGCTCACAGGAGCCAGGTTCTTTAAAGTGGAAGACGGGCAGAAATGGCTCTTGACAGGCATATCTCGGAGAGTTAAAACCAGAAATCAAAGGCCAGGTTTCGACAGTTGGGCCATTCCCCTTGCACGGAGCTGCTCGAGACCCAGTGCTTCGTATCTCAATCTTCATGACCGTCGTTCCATCTGCACTCTACAGTATTCCATCTGACCAGATCACCTCCTGTTTTCCCATTCATTCATCCCCTTGGTTCTTTCTCTTCTTTCTTTCCTTCCTTCCTTCCTCAATGGGTGTCCCTTCCATCTCCATTCATTGACCATGGAAACCTTTCCCGAGATGCCTTTTCAAGTCAGCAATGACCCAAAGCCACATCTCGCCACGGCCCCTGCTTCTACTGCTGCTGCTTTGAAAGACTGTTGATTTTTTTTTGAATGGCTAAAAGAGAACGTCCCCCCCGTGGTGGTTTTGGAAGTGACTCCCCGCCCCGCTTGTCTCCCCCCTTTTTTCTTTTGTCTCGTTTTGATTTGTCTCCGTGTCCAGTCAGAAGGTCAGCTTGAAAGATCGTGTCTTCTCCAGCCCCCGAGGGGCAACCACGAAAAGTAAAAGTTCTCCTCAGGGGCCAGGTGTCCGAAGATCCCCCAGTGCAGAACAAAACGTGGAAGATAGCCCAAGTAAAGTCCCCAAGAGCTGGAGTTTTGGAGACCAGACTCGGGCCCGGCAAGCTTTTCGCATCAAAGGAGCCGCGTCTCGTCAGAATTCGGAAGGTGAGGCGGATGATGGTCCATGCAAGGCTTGGTCTGTGTGTGTCTGGAGATATTTTCTTGGGAGAAAGGAGAAAGCAGCAAATTACAGGTAGTCCTCAACTTACAACAATAACCGAGCCCAAAATTTCCATTGCTAAGCAGTGAGTTTTGCCCCAGTTTACGACTTTTGTTGCCACAAATTATCTTAATCAGCACTTATGGTGCTCTGGTGACCCAGTGGTTAGAATGTAGTATTGCAGGCTAACTCTGCCTACAGCCTGGAGTTCAATTCCAACCAGCTCAAGGTTGACTCAGCCTTCCATCTTTCCGAGCTCAATAAAACTGGATGCAGTATTCCAAGTGTGGCCTTACCAATGTCTTGGTAAGGCCACACTTGGAATACTGCATCCAGTTTTGGTCACTGCGATGCAAAAAAGATGCTGAGACTCTAGAAAGAGTACAGAGAAGAGCAACAAAGATGATTAGGGGACTGGAGGCTAAAGCATATAAGGAACGGCTGCTGGAATTGGGTCTGTCTAGTTTAATGAAGAGAAGGACGAGGGGGGACATGATAGCAGTGTTCCAGTATCTCAGGGGCTGCCACAAAGAAGAGGGAGTCAGGCTATTCTCCAAGGCGCCTGAAGGCAGGACAAGAAGCAACGGGTGGAAACTAATCAAGGAGAGAAGCAACCTAGAACTAAGGAGAAACTTCCTGACAGTTAGAACAATTAACCAGTGGAACAACCTGCCTCCAGAAGTAGTGAATGCTCCAACACTGCAAGTTTTCAAGAAGAGACTGGACAGCCATTTGTCTGAAATGGTATAGGGTTTCCTGCCTAAGCAGGAGGTTGGACTAGATGACCTTCAAGGTCCCTTCCAACATCATCATCATCATCATCATCATCATCATCATCATCATCATCATCATCATCATCATCATTATTATTATTATTATTATTATTATTATTATTATTATTATGTGAGGACCCAGATTGTTGGGGGCAAGAGGCTGATATTGTGAACTGCCCAGAGAGTGCTGTAAAGCACTATGGGGTAATAATAATAATAATAATAATAATAATAATAATAATAATAATAATAATAATAATAATAATAATAATAATGATAAAGTTGGAAGGGACCTTGGAGGTCATCTAGTCCAACCTCCTGCTCAGGCAGGAAACCCTATACCATTTCGGACAAATGGCTGTCCAGTTAAGTGCTATTGCTATTATGATGGTTGCAGAGTCCCGGGGTCACGTGATCCCCTTTTGTGAATTTCTGAGGAGCAAAGTCAAAGGGGAAGCCAGATTCACTTAACAACCATGTTACTAACTTAATAACTGCAGTGATTCTCTTAACAACCGTGTCAGGAAAGGTCACAAAATGGGGCAAAATTCACTTAACAAATGTCTTAATTCAGCAACAGAAATTTTGGGCTCAATTATGGTTGTAAAATGAGGACTACCTACAGCAACTGCAAAATATAGTTTCAAATCAGGTAAGCCCAAATCCTCCACTTTCTGTTGCATCTTCTAACTCCTTATCTTTAACTCGTGTTTCTTTCTCCCCTGTCACGCAAACCTAGATATATCTTTTTTTCCACTGTTTAACTGGGGCATAAGTTATCAAATCAGGTAATGTCTGAAACGCAAACTAGGCAAGACATTCTTTTTCCATTCCTGATTTTGCAGGGAAATGTGAGGTGTGCTTTCGTTCACTTAGGATAATGCAACTCTCTTTAGTCCTTTTCTTTTAATATAGCATTTTTTGCAGTTATAAATTGCACCTTTTAATTTCCTTTTAATCCTGGAAACCATCCAGAGGCCTTTGGAAAGCCACAAAGTGGATCGTTAAATGCAGCGAGTAAAAACTAAGTGCTTCTCCAGATGAACTTTTCAGCAGAAAGGGAATAAATATGTTTTTCCCAACATCCTCTTCTTCATTGCCTGCTTGTCAGGCTAATTTGTGTTTCTGTTCTTTCTGCTCCAGCCTGAGGCTGTCCCTGTTGAACTTCTGTCTTCTCACCCCTTTCTTCCCTCCTGTAACTAGAAGCAAGTCTCCCTGGAGAAGACATGGCTGATCCTGACAACAAGAGTTGCAACTGTGAATATTTGACAGAAGACCTTACACCGGGTCTTAAAGCCAGCATCCGGGCAGTGTGGTAAGCCGTGTGCCCATATTACATAAAACTGTGACCACAGGAAGTGGAGCTCAAAAGTCCACTGCTATTAATGAATAAGGGACTGTGTCAACCTCAAATGAAGGAAAGAAATATGAGGGAGAGACTGTATGATTTGGTGTACAGCCACTCCTCGACTTACGACCACAATTAGGCCCAAAATTTCTGTTGCTAAACGCGACAGTTGTTAAATGAGTTTTAACCCATTTTACAACCTTGCTTGCGACAGTGGTTAGGAGAATCACTGCAGTTGTTAATTTTGGAACACGATTGTAAAATGAATCTGCATTCCTCATTGATTTTGCTTGTCAGAAGGTCACAAAAGATGATCACATGACCCTGGGGCACCGCAACCATCATAAATGCATGCCAGTTGTCAAGCATCCAAATTTTGATCACGTGACCATGGAGATGCTGCAAGAGTCGTGTAAAAAAATGTGATAAGTCACTTTTCAGTGCTGTTGTACCTTTGAATGGTCACTAAACAAATGGTTGTAAATCAAGTACTCTTGGATGTACTTCTTACCTAGACTACCTTGCAAGGTTGACATTTAATAGCTTGATCAGGTGTTGAAAGCTTTGTTGTTTAGAACAATGTTTTTCTCAACCTGGGCCACCTGAAGACTTTGGACTTCAACTCCCAGAAATCCCTAGCCAGCATAGGAATTCTGGGAGTTGAAGTCCACACATTTTCAAGTTGAGAAACACTGGTTTAGAGGTAATAGATTTCCAGTTTCCCATTGTGACACCATCCAAATACAAATGGACAGTTAGAAAGAATAAACCACTTTAGGTTTCTGCTTGTCACTCTGTTTTTCTGCTTTAGCATCATGCGGTTCCTGGTTTCCAAGCGAAAATTCAAGGAGAGCCTGCGACCATACGACGTGATGGACGTCATTGAACAGTATTCAGCAGGACATCTGGATATGCTTTCCCGGATTAAAAATCTTCAGTCCAGGCAAGTCTTCCCTTTTTCATCTCTGGTGGCTTCTGGTATCTCTTATTACTCGTACTTGACCTAGGTAGGTTTTGGTATTCTGGAGCATGATGTTGAGACGTTCACTATGTCAGGAAGAGTGAAAGTGGTTGTTTGAATGTGGACAGACCATCTCCTCTGGTTTGCATTGGGCTCTCCTTGAAAGTAGTATATCTTTTGGGGTATATGCAGGAAGTGAGAACTAAACTTTAGCAGAAATGGAAATTATATTTGGCATATTGTTTAAATTTTTGTAAAACAAGAAAAAGCGAGAACATCAGCTGGGCAAATTGCTCTCCTGACTGGACGCTATACTCGGAAGTAAAGGTAGTCCTCAACTTACAACTATTCATTTAGGAACTGAAGTTATAAGGCCACTAAAAAAAGTGAGTTATGTCCGTTTTTCACATTTATGACCATTGCAGAATCCCCATGATTATATGATCAGAAGTCAGACACTTGGCAACTGGCAAGTATTTATGACAGTTGCAGTGTCCCGGGGTCCCGTGATCACCTTTTACGATCTTCTGACAAGCAAAGTCAATGGGGGAGCCAGATTCACTTAGCAACCGTGTTACTCATTTAACAACTGCAGTGACTCTTTAATAAGTGTGGCAAGAAAGGTCATAAAATGGGGCAAAACTCAACTGTCTCACTTAGCAACAGAAATTTTGAGCTCAATTCTGGTCGTAAGTCGAGGACTACCTGTAGTACTTTCTGATTCTGGGGGATTTTAAAATTTTCACCTTTGTAGGGACATTTGTAGAGGTCAAGATGAAGACTGTGGTTGGGTGTTCAAAAGCCTCACCTTCTTATTTTACATATTTTGTAGCAGCGGTGCACATAAAAACACTCCCGGGAGCCACTTACTCCTGAGATGAACAACTACGTGAATTTGATAAGTAAATTAAAATTTAAAAATTAACAATGGGTGGAGCTTTGATCACAGTCACAGCCACCATTTTGACTTTTTTGGATGCTCCCACACCCTGAAGATCCCCACTATCCCATTATCTGTTGTGTTCAACACCCAAAATTTGTATTCTGTATAACAGAATAACAGAGTTGGAAGGGACCTTGGAGGTCTTCTAGTCCAACCCCCTGCTTAAGCTAAGATCTTGTGCAGAACCCTCAAACTCTTAAGCCGCTGTTGGAAGACCCAAAGCTACCCATAGGGGTCAGAAGGGAATTTTTCTTTTTTTGATATATCCGTTCAATTGTGTACGATTCTTGGAGATTGTCCCTGCAGTTTGCCATAGCCTTCTTTCTAGGGCTGAGAGAATGTTCAACTTTTTAACCTACTTTTAATTTCAGCTGCTGATTCTACAACAAAGTATAGCATTTCTGTGTTCTCCTTGTCCCCCTTTTACTATTTTTGCAAGCAGGTCTTGCCATTCCTGTGTCTTGTTCTACCCCATATATATGTGTGTATTGGCTTTCTTCGATCTTGTCTTTTTCCCAAACAGGTTGTGATATCCCTTCCACTGATTGCAGCAATATGGATTTTTTTTCATTTTTAGAGCCGTGAATGGCCTCGAATACTTAATCAGTAAGAGGAGCGCAAAGCTGTGGATTTTGTTGTGGCTGCAATGGGATATTTTCATACATTTTCCAACTTGTCTGTTCATACTTAGCCTGCTCATTGCCAAACAACGAATCCTTTAACAAGGGGTTCCTTTGGATCCTTCCCAAAGAAGGATTATTCCATTGTTGCTGAAAAGTCCACCGCTTTTAACAACCATCCCAAATGATCAGATTGTTTGGGTACTCATTTATTATTATTATTATTATTATTATTATTATTATTATTATTATTATTATTATTATTATTATTATTATTATTATTATTATTATNTAATAATAATAATAATAATAATAATAATAATAATAATAATAATAATAATAATAATAATAATAATAATAATAATAATAATAATAATAATAATGATAAAGTTGGAAGGGACCTTGGAGGTCATCTAGTCCAACCTCCTGCTCAGGCAGGAAACCCTATACCATTTCGGACAAATGGCTGTCCAGTTAAGTGCTATTGCTATTATGATGGTTGCAGAGTCCTGGGGTCACGTGATCCCCTTTTGTGAATTTCTGAGGAGCAAAGTCAAAGGGGAAGCCAGATTCACTTAACAACCATGTTACTAACTTAATAACTGCAGTGATTCTCTTAACAACCGTGTCAGGAAAGGTCACAAAATGGGGCAAAATTCACTTAACAAATGTCTTAATTCAGCAACAGAAATTTTGGGCTCAATTATGGTTGTAAAATGAGGACTACCTACAGCAACTGCAAAATATAGTTTCAAATCAGGTAAGCCCAAATCCTCCACTTTCTGTTGCATCTTCTAACTCCTTATCTTTAACTCGTGTTTCTTTCTCCCCTGTCACGCAAACCCAGATATATCTTTTTTTCCACTGTTTAACTGGGGCATAAGTTATCAAATCAGGTAATGTCTGAAACGCAAACTAGGCAAGACATTCTTTTTCCATTCCTGATTTTGCAGGGAAATGTGAGGTGTGCTTTCGTTCACTTAGGATAATGCAACTCTCTTTAGTCCTTTTCTTTTAATATAGCATTTTTTGCAGTTATAAATTGCACCTTTTAATTTCCTTTTAATCCTGGAAACCATCCAGAGGCCTTTGGAAAGCCACAAAGTGGATCGTTAAATGCAGCGAGTAAAAACTAAGTGCTTCTCCAGATGAACTTTTCAGCAGAAAGGGCATAAATATGTTTTTCCCAACATCCTCTTCTTCATTGCCTGCTTTTCAGGCTAATTTGTGTTTCTGTTCTTTCTGCTCCAGCCTGAGGCTGTCCCTGTTGAACTTCTGTCTTCTCACCCCTTTCTTCCCTCCTGTAACTAGAAGCAAGTCTCCCTGGAGAAGACATGGCTGATCCTGACAACAAGAGCTGCAACTGTGAATATTTGACAGAAGACCTTACACCGGGTCTTAAAGCCAGCATCCGGGCAGTGTGGTAAGCCGTGTGTCCATATTACATAAAACTGTGACCACAGGAAATGGAGCTCAAAAGTCCACTGCTATTAATGAATAAGGGACTGTGTCAACCTCAAATGAAGGAAAGAAATATGAGGGAGAGACTGTGTGATTTGGTGTACAGGCACTCCTCGACTTACAACCACAATTAGGCCCAAAATTTCTGTTGCTAAACGCGACAGTTGTTAAATGAGTTTTAACCCATTTTACAACCTTGCTTGCGACAGTAGTTAGGAGAATCACTGCAGTTGTTAATTTTGGAACACGATTGTAAAATGAATCTGCATTCCTCATTGATTTTGCTTGTCAGAAGGTCACAAAAGATGATCACATGACCCTGGGGCACCGCAACCATCATAAATGCATGCCAGTTGCCAAGCATCCAAATTTTGATCACGTGACCATGGAGATGCTGCAAGAGTCATGTGAAAAATGTGATAAGTCACTTTTCAGTGCTGTTGTACCCTTGAATAGTCACTAAACAAATGGTTGTAAATCAAGTACTCTTGGATGTACCTCTTACCTAGACTACCTTGCAAGGTTGACATTTAATAGCTTGATCAGGTATTGAAAGCTTTATTGTTTAGAACAATGTTTTTCTCAACCTGGGCTACCTGAAGACTTGTGGACTTCAACTCCCAGAAATCCCTAGCCAGCATAGGAATTCTGGGAGTTGAAGTCCACACATTTTCAAGTTGAGAAACACTGGTTTAGAGGCAATAGATTTCCAGTTTCCCATTGTGACACCATCCAAATACGAATGGACAGTTAGAAAGAATAAATCACTTTAGGTTTCTGCTTGTCACTCTGTTTTTCTGCTTTAGCATCATGCGGTTCCTGGTTTCCAAGCGAAAATTCAAGGAGAGCCTGCGACCATATGACGTGATGGATGTCATTGAACAGTATTCAGCAGGACATCTGGACATGCTTTCCCGGATTAAAAATCTTCAGTCCAGGCAAGTCTTCCCTTTTTCATCTCTGGTGGCTTCTGGTATCTCTTATTACTCGTACTTGACCTAGGTAGGTTTTGGTATTCTGGAGCACGATGTTGAGACATTCACTATGTCAGGAAGAGTGAAAGTGGTTGTTTGAATGTGGACAGACCATCTCTTCTGGTTTGCATTGGGCTCTTCTTGAAAGTAGTATATCTTTTAGGGTATATGCAGGAAGTGAGAACTAAACTTTAGCAGAAATGGAAATTATATTTGGTATATTGTTTAAATTTTTGTAAAACAAGAAAAAGCAAGAACATCAGCTGGGCAAATTGCTCTCCTGACTGGACGCTATACTCGGAAGTAAAGGTAGTCCTCAACTTACAACTATTCATTTAGGAACTGAAGTTATAAGGCCACTAAAAAAAGTGAGTTATGTCTGTTTTTCACATTTACGACCATTGCAGAATCCCCATGATTATATGATCAGAAGTCAGACACTTGTCAACTGGCAAGTATTTATGACAGTTGCAGTGTCCTGGGGTCCCATGATCACCTTTTGCGACCTTCTGACAAGCAAAGTCAATGGGGGAGCCAGATTCACTTAACAACCGTGTTACTCACTTAACAACTGCAGTGACTCTTTAATAAGTGTGGCAAGAAAGGTCATAAAATGGGGCAAAACTCAACTGTCTCACTTAGCAATAGAAATGTTGAGCTCAATTCTGGTTGTAAGTCGAGGACTACCTGTAGTCTACCTGGGGGATTTTAAAATTTTCACCTTTGTAGGGACATTTGTAGAAGTCAAGACGAAGACTGTGGTTGGGTGTTCACCTTCTTATTTTACATATTTTGTAGCAGCGGTGCACATAAAAATACTCCCGGGAGCCACTTACTCCTGAGGTGAACAACTACGTGAATTCAATAAGTAAATTAAAATTTAAAAATTAACAATGAGTGGAGCTTTGATCACAGTCACAGCCACCATTTTGACTTTTTTGGATGCTCCCACACCCTGAAGATCCCCACTGTCCCATTATCTGTTGTGTTCAACATCCAAAATTTGTATTCTGTATAACAGAATAACAGAGTTGGAAGGGACCTTGGAGGTTTTCTAGTCCAACCCCCTGCTTAAGCTAAGATCTTGCGCAGAACCCTCAAACTCTTAAGCCTCTGTTGGAGGATCTGAAGCTACCCATAGAGGTCAGAAGGGAATTTTTCTTTTTTATATATATATCCGTTCAATTGTGTACGATTCTTGGAAATTGTCCCTGCGGATTACTTGGCAAGTGGTTTACCATAGCCTCCTTCCTAGGGCTGAGAGAACGTTCAACTTTTTAACCTACTTTTAATTTCAGCTGCTGATTCTACAACAAAGTATAGCATTTCTGTGTTCTCCTTGTCCCCCTTTTACTATTTTTGCAAGCAGGTCTTGCCATTCCTGTGTCTTGTTCTACCCCATATATATGTGTGTATTGGCTTTCTTCGATCTTGTCTTTTTCCCAAACAGGTTGTGATATCCCTTCCACTGATTGCAGCAATATGGATTTTTTTTCATTTTTAGAGCCGTGAATGGCCTCGAATACTTAATCAGTAAGAGGAGCGCAAAGCTGTGGATTTTGTTGTGGCTGCAATGGGATATTTTCATACATTTTCCAACTTGTCTGTTCATACTTAGCCTGCTCATTGCCAAACAACAAATCCTTTAACAAGGGGTTCCTTTGGATCCTTCCCAAAGAAGGATTATTCCATTGTTGCTGAAAAGTCCACCGCTTTTAACAACCATCCCAAATGATCAGATTGTTTGGGTACTCATTTATTATTATTATTATTATTATTATTATTATTATTATTATTATTATTATTATTATTATTATTATTATTATTATTATTATTAT